ACTGAATTGGGTCCCACTGGATTGGGTCCCACTAGCATTGGAAAATATCGAAATAAAGCGCTTGATTGACCATACCAAGGCTGGCTGGTGCTGTACTGACCCCAGGACAATGGGAAAGGGTGGCCAAACAGTCATCCTGGGGTGCAACAGTGGTTCTATGTGCTGTGGTGGCCTGTGTGACCTGGTAAGCACCAATGGATGGCTGATGGGTGATGGATGGATGACCAATGGAAGGAAAAAAACAGAAAATAAAGGTTGGACAGACCCAGTGTGGGTGGTGTGGGTGTGGGGCAGTGGGCTCGAGTAGGGCGGCTTATTAGTGGCACTTGGTCAGTACCTAAAGAGAAAGAGCAGGCATGATGCTGCATTGGGGTGGTCAACCCAATGACACCACTGCTGGATAAGTGGTGATGGATTTCTAAACGCACTGGAAATCGTGCACAGAGACAAGGGTAGTCCAGCACACCAGGCGACCACAACCAACTTGACTGAGTTGCTGCAACATGGGCAGGATAAGCATGACCCAACTTGTTCTTCACTGTGAAAAGAAAAGACTGCCAATCAGCTTGCTGTGCACAGCCAAAGCAAAGGAAAAGAAATTATACTCTCAGCCAGTTGCAGAAGGGCAACCAAGCAGCTGGCAGCCTTGGTGGGGGATGGGGCAGGCAGCATCCAGCTTGACAGCAGTGGTGGTGTCAGTGTCCTCACCAAGGTCGTCTTGATCAGTGGTACAGGTACAGGCAGGGGTCTCATGCTTGCTGACACCAGTGTGGACCCCCTCTTTGGCCTTCTTCATGGCATTGGCTCAAGCCTGTTTAGACACAGAGGTGAGTGGGGTGGAGGCCAACCAGGCTACCACCAAAAATACCACTACTGCCAGCATATCAACAAATTTCAAATTTTCTGGGCACATCCTAGCACATGCAGCCAATGTGGGAGACTTAGTCAGTCAGGCACGCTAGTGATCATCTTGGTTCTCAGAACGGCCAGCAGCAGTGGAGCAGTCTTGGGGCAACTTTCTGAATATCAATGGTGGGCTTGCTGTCGTTCACGATCTCGATGTCAGTGCTCTCAACTGAACACCATGCCATTTGACCGAGTATAGGATGGGGCTGTACCAACATTTGACAGGCACTGCGTGATGTCCACAGTATTTTTCTTGTGAACAGCATCCTGGTACAGCCAGTATTGGGCTAATTAGAAAGATCGAGGGCTAATAAGACGCTGATTTTTTGTTGGTCAAGCTGGTTGGAAGCTGAACGTAGAAATCGCTTTCCAAATGTAATTTGTGAAAAAAAGAAAAAAGGAAAGTCATTTGCAATTTAAACGAGCGAGGGGAGGTTCGAACTCCCGGCCTTCCCCTCCGGAGGGGGACGCGCTAGCCACTGCGCTACACGCCCGTCATAGAGTTAATTAATTAATATCGGACATAGCAACTGAACACCGTATAAAATCGCCCGGTAAAAATATACCGAGCATGTCCACCGACGCGCACATGCGCGGCCCTACTGGCCCGCCCCTGCCGCCCGCCGGCGACGGTTTTTGCACTGTCGGCCACAAAAATTATAGCGATATTAATAAAAATAATACGTTTGTCCTTGGCATCAAGGCCGCCGAGATGAGCAGCCACGGCATCACCTCGGCCCAGATGGCCGACACCCTGCTCGTCACCCCCCTGGTCAAGTGCGCCATTGAGGCACGTGTTGGCAAAAAGACCACACTGAGCGAAGTGGCATACTGGACTTTTACTGTGTACAACGAGGCCGACCGCGCTGCCATGCTGGCCGCGCCCCTGGAACTGGTCCGCCATGGCGGCAACGGCCGCGAGGACCCAGCAACTGCTCACAAATACGCGGTTTTTGATTTGACTCGAAATGTCAAGGGCGGTACCTACCACACAGCTGCCATGACCAACCTCCCTGCTTCTGCTGGCAAGAGCCTCCCCTGGACCGTCCTTTCACGGCAATACCCCAACTCGATTTCGGAAATCACCCCCCGCATGTTCCGTGGAATCACTGCTGCAACCATTGGCTTCAATAACCTCGAGGCCTACACTGCTTTCGTCATGAGCAAGACCATGGTCATTGGCTCTTCCTGCCCGCGCATCTTCCCGGACTTTGACTTTGCTGATGCCGAGTATGAGGCTGACCGCCACCGGACACTTTATGCCCACGTGGTCCCACGTAATTTGTTCCCAATGGACCTGCTGCGCACAGCCCGCACCAAATTTGGCAACGAGAATGTGACCAGCGCCTACATGGTCCCTGCCAACTACAACCCGCACAAATACCGCTTGACTGGTGGTCTTCGTTTTGTGGACACTGCTGCTCGCAATGCTGCCATGGCCATGCTCAAGGCCGAGTCTGCTGGCGTCTGGAAGGATATTGGTCCCAAAACGATCCTGACACAGATCCCTGACATGCATGCCTGCTTCCTGTGCGAGTGCATGGGCCATGAGGCACACCAGTGCACTGTCCCTCGCCCACCTCCTCGCCCGACCCCACAGCATACTGCACACCATCCCAAACCAGCCCCTGCTAGCCGCATCACCCCTAGTGCAATGCACCAGGGCCATCCTTCACCTGTGGTGGGTGCAACATGGGTGAACAGAGCCACCGGCAAGGCACCAGTGGAGGGCCGAGGGGCCTCAGCTGCTGCTCTTGTGCCACGGGCCGCTGTCTCACCGAGGTCAGCCCCCAGCATGGCGGCCGTGACCACCCCTGGTCTCGCTCGGGCATTTGTGGAAATGGGAGCGATTCTTGCCAAGCAGATCTTTGCCGAGGTGCGCAATGGCAACATGGAGCATGCTCAGCACGCGGTCCAGGCCTTTGACGACTACAAGGCGCACATGGGTGTCCATGTGAGCGATGAGGACGTGACTGCCTTGCTCTTGGCCGAGCACTCACCACCTGCTCCTGCTCCTGCTCCTGCCCCTCACCAGGCGGCTGCACCTGCTCCGGCTCCACGCCAATCAACTGCTCCTCCCCATGCTCCTCGCCATAACAACAACAATGCTACCACACGTCGCCCTGACACTGACATGGGTTTGTCGCGTAATGCCAAGAAGGCACGCACCACCAAGACCAACCCGGCTGCTGCTGCTGCTGCCATCATGGCGCTTGAGGCAGCTGCCTCCACTGCTGCCAAGCGTTTGGCCAAGGCCAACGATGCCATTGCTGCCCAAAAGGTCCTGGCAGATGAGGCCAAGGCCCGCCTGGATGCTGCTCGTGCTGCTGTCACTGCCAAGGCACATCGCCCTGACGGCAGAATGAGTACAACCATTCATGTCGGGCTGTCATCGAGTCCCCCCCAGCAGGGCTGATGACACTAAACGTGTGCGGGTTGCGGGACCTGTGCTTAGGACCGGCGAAGCTCCAGTGGATTTTGGATTCGGCAACAAGGCAGGGGTGCGGCATGATTGCACTCCAGGAGACCTTCCTGACCAAGAAGACGGCAGCGTACGTGCTCAAGGACACCAAGGGCTGGTATGCACGCCACAGCTTCCGCAAAGACGGTGCCCAGCAGGCAGGCGTGTCCCTGCTGCTGCGCACCGGGTTCAGCTCCTACCATGCAGGCCAGATCAAGCTCGATGGCTACGTTCAAGGCGAGGCGATCCGCACTAGTGCTGGCATGCTGCTGTGGATCATCTCTGTCTACATACCACCCTCGACCCACCAGACAACGCGTCTGGTCTCTGACTTCTTGCTGCCACGCATTGATCGCGAGATCGCTGCTGGCCACCAGGTCGTGGTCACTGGCGACCTCAACACACGCTCGAGTGCTGCCAACCGCACCTTCCTTTGCGCACTCCTGGAGCGCGGACTCCTGGATGTGGCCGACGATCATGGCATGGGTGACACGCCCACACGTGCACAGGCACAAAATGACGTCCAAGGTCACCGACTGGACTACACGCTCGCTACCCCTGACGCCTTGGCACGTGTCGAGGATTTCGACGTGGACACCAGCACCAACACGCGCCTCCAGCTCCCAGGCGTGCGCTCACTGCCACTGCACATTAGTGATCATTTTGCACTCGTGACCAAGACGCGATGGGGCGACTACCTTGACAAGGAGCTCGCCAAACGCGTCAAGCAGGCGCTCGCTGGCGCTGGTCGTGTCCTGCTCGATCTCGAGGCCGTGACGCCCGAAAACCATGCTGCTTTTGCTGCTGCTGCTGGTCGCGATCTTGCCTCATCCAACATCATGGCGACTGGAGGCTGGCGACATGGACGCCGCGTGGGAGACCTTCCAGGGGTGCTACCAACACTCGATCAACACGCATCTGCCAACACGACGCGTTGGTGGCAAGGCGGCTGCTGGTATGGGCATCATTCGGAATGGCACACTCCTCCAGCACAAGAAGACGGTGTGGACATGGCGTGTCAAACACCGGTGTAAACCAGCCATGCCAGCAGCAGTCATTGCCCAC